GAATATATATATATATATATAACAGTTATTTTAAATTGCAGTAATATTTCATATGACTTTTTTTTTTTTACCAAAACTTTGTGAAAATATATTTAGAAAAAGGACATGCGATGTAGTTGTGCCAATACCAGGAAAATAGCTCAAATTTTTTTACTTATTAAAAAATCTGAAGTAATCAACCATATGCGTGTTGTTATTACTTCCAGTCTACGCAAGCGGAACCGTGAGGAGCGGATAGCCAGCACGGCACAGAGGGTGCAGCACATGAAGCTGAAACTAAGCGATTCGGAGAAGAAGAAAGAGAAGTGGCTATTTTGGAAACCAATTCTCCTAAATGTCGGTGCTGGTGCAGCTGTAGCACTGGGACTGTGCATGTGCTGGGCTTTTCTGTCCCAGTAATGCTGTTTTATCCCACAGATTCCACTTCCTGTCTTTTATTTTGCACAGGGACCCAAATTATGGTACTCATATTAGTAGGTGCTTGGATGTTTCTAGAAAAAGGGACAAAAAAAATGTAGAATGATCGTGTTTACAAGCATTCATACCCGGATGTTCTTCATGATTTATTGAATGTTTGTGTCATATGTGGTTATTACAATGTAACGAATGATGTAGTTACATTGTAACTACTATTTTAAATCCATCATGGTAAGTTCTCGAGGCCTAACAACTTTCACTGTACAGTATTTTGTCTGAGTTTATATGCGGAGCAATGTTAAATAGACCCCCACCGGTCCTACTGAGTCAGTTTATTAAATGCGTCTGTTTGCTAAGTTTCCGCATGGATATTCATAGGGCGACTCATTTGTTTCAGTAGGTCAAAGCCCAGTGAGTTTCCGTACATGCACATCTCAGGATCTTCTAGTAATAAACTGACTGTAGATTCAGCCAAATGTAATAAGTGGTCCGGTTTCCACTTTCAAAAATGTACATAGTAAACTCTTTACTAAAGAAGAAGTATTGCTGTTTTTGTTTGCATTGTTTTTTATGTCTCTGGCATCTTCTGTGTATATGCTTTTCTGGTTTCTCAAGCTTATTTGCATCCATAAAACGGTATCTCTCATTTCAAACTGATGTATGCGTGCAAATAAATGCAGATTGTGACAGATTGCATGTTTATAGATTGCTACATCAGTGCAGTGTCAGGTCTGTTATGTTTAATTTTTAGACAATGGATGCTAAACTAACCCTAGCGATTTATTTTTTGTCTCCACGGATCATAGTTTGTTTCCAGTCGCCGTTACCTCACACTGTAGGATTTCATTGTGGGTTTAATGCCAATTACTTAGCAGAATCAATGGGAGTCAAATTAGATGTCTCTTCCTGCCATGGTTCCAGGAATTGCTCCAATATTTCCAGAAGTGGCTAATGGTGGAGTGGTAATTGCATTCCATCTAGCCAAGTGACCAGCCGGGAAAGAACAATCCTTTTTCCTCTCAGCAGGCTGTTGTCACAAATACGGGAAAATGTCTTATTGGATCCAAGCTCCGCTTAAGGGACGACCTTTTAAGAGCTAATAACATTTTTCAAAGATAAGAGAAAAATTTTCCCAACATGAAGTGCAAATGTAATTGACATCTGGTGTGGGCATAATTTAATATACAAAAGCTGTTGAACTCATCCTCCTGATACACTATAGTTCTAAAGCTCTGAAAATATATATTTTAATTGTATTAAATATTGAAAATATTTTTTCAAATTGCATTTAGTTCAGTAATGAGAGTCAAATACAGAACAAAAAGTACAGAGGATTATTTAACAGTTCAAAGAATGTGAGATAAAGAACACAGAATAAACATAAAGTTAACAGTCATGCAGTTAGTTACATGAATTTGAAAAGCTTTTTTTTATTGCAAGAATTTCTATTGTTTACATGTCTTATTTTGTATTCTAATTTTTAAAGGGTTTTAAAGTACATTGCAGTAGATCGATGCTACAAAGGGTAATATTTTAGTTTTTTGTTTGTTTATTCTTTACTTGTGAATGCAAACATTTTCAGAGAAGTTTGGGTTACATTTACATTTATTATCGTATGGTTCTAAACAGTGTTGGGGGTAACGCATTACAAGTAACGCGAGTTACGTAATCAGATTACTTTTTTCAAGTAACTAGTAAAGTAACCGAACACATTTTAATTTACAAGAGAATATCTGACTACTGTACGGACGTAAATTTACTTTCCCTTTAGCCTGAGGCTTATTCATTTCACTTTTGGTGTGAAAAGGCTTTTATATTTGCCAAAAATAGAACTTTTTTATTTTAAAAACAAACAAGCAAGCCCTGTCCAGATTTAAAAAGTAACGCAAAAGTAACGTAACGCATTACTTTCCATAAAAAGTAACTAAGTAACGTAATTAGTTACTTTTCTCATGGAGTAACGCAATATTGTAATGCATTACTTTTAAAAGTAACTTTCCCCATCACTGGTTCTAAATGTAAAGCTTTTGTTTTGTCGTGTCCATTTAAGTCAATCCAAATTGAAGAGAATGTACATTTGCAAGCCTTTGTTACTTCGGGAAATTCTTATTATTTTATAATAGCAGTTTGGAATTAAGAGTAAAATGTCTATGGTTAACATTACTTGAGACTTTCTCATTTTGTTTTAGAAAATATATTGCATACATTAGTTCCTAAAACACATGGATAAATCTCTGTCACAGTATAAATAAGTACAATGGTACCATTATTGTTATTACAGAGAAAGTACAGTTTATGTTTATAATAAACGAGAGAACTACAAGATCCAGGGGCTGAACTTCTATGACGTCATTCACGAAGTATGAAGACGCTGTGCCTGATTTAAACCTTAGTGTTTAATATTTTGTAGAATCTCCGAATTCGTAAAGTATCAAAGCTCATGAACACTATCGTTCGTTAAACGTAATGTAATGTAGTTAGGTTTTTGTTTTACAGCTTTTAGTGTATTTTAAAACCGCAACTGCGAAGATACACAGGCGCTGTGATGACAGACTCCTGCTTGCCTTTCCGCCAGGATTTAAAATTTCAGTTGCAGAAAGCGTTGACATTTACATCGCATCCAGCAACAGAGCGAAATAAATATGAATATGTTGAATACCAGTAGTTAATGCAGACGTTGACTTCAAATGCGTAATAAATTTTTTTAAAATTTTAAAACATTTTATATGAATAAACTAATTGTGTAGTTGTACAAGAAATACATTACGGTTTGTTTTCCGATGTTGTTGTTTGTGCTGGTATTTTTTTAGGTGGTTGACATGACAACCAACCACAAATGCTACACTTCTATATCGTGTAATTTTTGTGCAATTACTACGCATGCAGTTTTTAAGTAAACACATTTATAATAATTGAGGGTTTTTTATGTTTTGAAAAAATGATCTTATTCTCAGCTTGGCTGCATTAATTTGATCAAAAATACAGTAAAA